TTGCAACACCTTCAATCCTAACATTCACTCATGCTACAAATTCTTCAGTTTCACTCATTAGGTGTCGTTTTCATCCCAAAATCTCCATGGGAACTTGTATACAAGACGAATTCTTCGAAGTACGGATTCCATCCTTCGGACACCTCATTTTCGTGTATAATGGATATTTTAGGCTGTGACTGCACTGTACACCAGCGTACAAATTCAGACTTGCCCTTCTATCCTCCTTTCCTTGGGCCAAATTCACAAAGCAGTTACGCAAGTACTTATGAACCTGTACATCTTTTCTCAATCTTTGGCGGCTTTGTTTACAATTATTAAACAGTTAATGAGCTCCGAAGCACCACGAGGCTGTTTATAACAATAACAACAGTTTATTGGGAAGTTTTCATGCTTGTAAACTTGTTTAATAAATGTAACCAAAGCCGTTAAAGATTGAGGAAAAATGTACACGTTCGTAAGTACTTGCGTAATTGCTTCGTGAATCTGCTGGCCCTTGTTACGGTGACGTTCGATGATGCCCCCTAATCGTAAATGGATCTTTTTATGAAACATTCAATATGGCCTCCTTCCAACCTGTCCTCTCAAATAGTGCATTGCATTTTGACGTATGAACAAAACGTCACATCAGTTTAATTTATTGACATTGTGAACGTTCGTGGGGATAGGCTGCCTTTCGAGCGTTAAGGCCAAATTCAGTAATATAAGACGTCAACTTTTTGGTGGTCCCTCACATCTTATTGGTACATTTGACCAAATAGTTACTATATGTATTATATCATTTTAGAAAGATGGGCTGAAGAAGAACATCAATAATAACAATAATTATAGTATCATAGAAGTATAACTACTAATAATCATTTATCTGTTATAATAATTACAATGCTCTAGCAATCTTAGCGATAATAAAAACCAATATAAGCAATAGCGCCCAGCAGGGAAGGGCAACACTTGAGTCTCAAGTGTTGTTATATATCTTGAGAGGCTGACTCGACTCGAAACGACTTGAGATGCGTCTCCATCTCACTCCACACACTTGTATTTATTTATTCATTTATTTATTTATACAAGAAGGTACAATTAAGTTTGAGAGAGTACATAACATTGATGTTTTTTTATATTTTTTGCAATGCCACTAACACGCGTAGCGTTGCGGGCAAATCCTTAATCTTTATAAGTCGGCAATTTGTAGCAAAATTTGAAGACAATATTCTCACAAGAAGGGGGTGTGTCTCCACCTCACTCCACACAAAATTCACGCAACAATTGCTACATCTCCACACAATATTCCTAAGCTATTAGAAATGGAGAAGCTCTATCTATAGCCTATCCCTCCTCTCCTTCGCCCTCTCTCTCTCGCCCTCTCTCTCTCTCTCTCTCTCTCTCTCTCTCTCTCTCTCTCTCTCTCTCTCTCTCTCTCTCTCTCTCTCTCTCTCTCTCTCTCTCTCTCTCTCTCTCTCTCTCTCTCTCTCTTCTCTCTCTCTCTCTCTCCTTCGCCCCCTCTCTCTCTCTCCCTCTCTTACAAAAACTGGATGTGTAAATAAGGAAGAATGGACATAATTGGGAGCTCTTAGCTCTAGTTCAAATCTGCTGGTAAGCGTGTCTTAAGATGTATTAATTAATTTATTCTTATTTAATAACTTGAATTTCTTTAGATTTGTTAATATAATGTTTATATAACTTTATTTATTTGTATTAATTTGTATCTGGTTTTGAAGGTTATTATATATATGATGTTTAATTATATAAATCTAAACTTCTATGAATCAGTTTTGTTTTGCCAATTTATTATTATTCTTCGTCGTTATATTTCAACAAATTTTGGAACTTATTTAGTTCGTACTGTAAGCCAAGGCGGTCGGCTTCTTGAAAATGATGATTAAGGTCTTATAACTGAAGATACTCAGACAACTTTGATTATAAGATTAGATATATTATCAGTTTAAGATCATAAGACACTTGTGTGATCACATCTGGAGCATCTCGACTGTGCTTGACCAATTTGCATAAACATTAGTCATTGGAAATTTGCTTTCTTAACATACAATTCTAGTTTAACAAAATGCCATTAAAATTTTCACTTGAAAATGAGTAGACTGTTTCACGTCGATCTCTCTCTATAATTAGTGATTTTTTTAATACAATTTTCGCTACAATTCTGAAATAAAATGGCCCATTGGTTAGACATGAGTTATATTAAATTTTAAAAATTCAGGCGAGGCCTGTGTGCTCTCCCTCCTCCTGCATACATGTTATTGAATGAGTCTGTGCCCGTACACTTAATAATAATAATAATAATAATAATAATAATAATAATAATAATAATAATAATATTTTATTTTGGAAAATAAATCAGTTTAATTATTGTGAAGTAATAATTACTTCATTCACTACATTTTATTGGTCAGATTCTGTTCCATTTTAAGAAAGCCCTTTATACTTTGTTTTAACCGTAGTTTTATTCATTATAGTATTTTACTGTTTCTTCTGTGTGCTTGCAGTCTTTGTGCCAGACATTTGTCAGGCAAGTCTGCAGTATAAAAGGCCAACCAAACCTCAAAAATATATTAAAGTCCACTAAGGGCTCACTATAGCCTGTGCTACTTGGAACTTTTGTTCCGAGTAGCTGAATCTAAAAAAAAATCAACTGCATGAGGCTCTGGTGCGCAATTCTCTAGACTATTTCATCCGAACATAGAAAACCCACCTTCAAAAGGACATATCTGCTTTGAAGAAAGTAGAACGATAAAAATCTCTCGAGAACTAAGCTCAACTCTCATACCAGGAACAGCTAAAGGCCATAGATCTAACACTACAAACATAAAGGTTTCATCGAGACTTTTAAACAAAATATAAGTTGCTTTTACACCCATATAGTGCATCTATAGCTATAAGAGAGAATGTGTGTGTGTTTGTCCAAGGTTGATAACCAGACGCCTGCGGCTAGCCTTACACAACTTTGCAAGGGGGGAATGGTCTGAGGTACGGGATGGACATAGGCTCATTAGGTTGTACTGTAGCTAGAATTCAGGTGGGAACAGCGTGTCATAGGTCACATCTACATATTATTTTTATAAGAGAGAGAGACAGGCAAAGATAGCAAAAAGACAGAGATAGACAGAGAGACAATTAAAAGTAGGCAGAGACAGACATAGAGACAGATACAGAGACAAACATAGAGACAGACATACAGAGAGACACACACAGAGCTATAGGCCTGCAGAGAGACCATGTCGAACAGCGCAAAGAATAAAAGGGACAGGAAGATAAACGAAAAAAAGACAGACAGACAACATACAGAGACATACAGAATGACTGGGACAGATAGATGGGGAGAGAAGGAAGGAAAAGGGGGATATTTGAAGAGAGAGAAGGAGAGGAGAAGAAGTGGGAGACTGGGAGAGAGGGTTGAGAGTGGCGAGAAGTTTGAAGAGGGAGAGGGGAGATGGAGGGTGGGAGAGAGAAAAGGAAGGAAAGTGGGAGAGGAAAGGGAGAAAGTTGGAGAGTGGGGGAAGGTGAGGCTAGTGACCCAGGTACACCCGAGTACCCCACTATAATGTAGAGTTTTGAAGCCTTCAACCGCCTCGGCTGGTAAGTAGGAAAGGCCAAGACATTATTTCAGTTGAAAATTCAGTTGGAAAAAATCCCAGGAACAATGGGAGGGGCTTTGATTAGCCAATGGCTTCGTCCCTTTCGAGGGAATACGGCCTAAAAAAGGTTTCACCTCTCTACGTCATCACTATATACTCTTTTAAGTAATCCTAACCAAACCTAACTTAACCAAAATAAGATCTATAATTTTGTGTTTTATATTTGGCATGCACGTCCACTTAGATAAAAATGTAAGTGATGAATCCCCTTTTCTTAGAGCAGTATTTTGTTAGCTAAATAGAATCTAAGTCAAGCAGTAATTACATATATTTTTATAGGAGTTTGATAATTTTACTAAATGAAACAAAGGTATGTGGCTTTTCTTGCATGATAGATGATGATAAATGGATAATAGTGCAAATTTCACTTTGTATCGGCAGAAATCTTAGCCAAATATTCCCAGTCTGCTAACTGTAGGTAGTAACTAAGTGACTGTAACCTACCCATCGCTGCCCACTGGATGGGGGCGGTGTGCAGGACAAACAAGGTATGGACAATACAAGGTAAGGGAGTAGAAAGAGTCTAAGCTACGTAATCTTTTTGGGATGCATTTTATTATCTCAAAAAACTTATTTGAACTTGAAAAGTTATATAGTCAACGCGGCCCTTCTTTAAAGGCGCAACCTTTGGTTAACTCATATCAGTTCTACAATGAATTCGGAGCTCAACATGAGATGGAATGCATACGAAATGAATCTTTCATTCTGTGTTATATACCATCTTATTAATCATTTTGTTGTATCTGTGTTATAGATCTTAAGCATGGAATTTGTATTATGAATATTTATAATATATATATGTTTCCAATATACGCGCCATCACTGCTCTATTCTTCATCAACATGTTGCAGGCCAGTGCGAGAATGACCCCAATAAATGATAATTATGAAGAGAGCAAATGTTTCTGGCATTCAAGAAGACCGGGCAGTTGCATGCATGTATTCCTTCGCGCACTAGAGCATGTATAAATATACCATTTATACGTAGTTTAAGAGGTATTTTAGTATACATTTTAGTTCTAGAGTAATGAAAATTAGTTTTCAGATCATACAATGTGTATTTTAATCGTTTTGCTATTAATAATACTTTTAATTTCTTTTCGAGAAATCTCTGTTCAAATCATAGGTGTCATATCAATGCGAACAGACCGTATGTTACGCAAAATACAACAAAATCGCTAAATACACATTTATGTACATAAATTAACACCGTCAATACCATTCTAAATAATGCATTCTCACGAGATAAAATGTTGGCAAGCCTGTTTTTAAAGACAACATGCGGAAGGGTACTGTCTAGTCGGGCGTCACGCGGCCCTTGCCTGTCTGTGTTATAGATGGTTTGAGAGACATTTACCAAGAAGAATCCAACACTTTAATGGCTCTTCAGCTCTTTTAAATATCAATGAACAACAGAATCCTACACCGAGCTTATTGCGCTCGAGCAGGCTGGGTCTGGGAGAGCACAGTGCCTATAGTACCAAATAACAAAGTACAAGATTTGCAGAAAGAGAAGGCAATGTAGTTAGTAAACGCAGCCGGAGTTTCCTTCACGAAACCAGAATGGAACAACTCCGATGGCTGGTATTGGTGTTATGCGGCGTGACGCTAGTTAACGGTTAGTTTGACGGTGTAACAAGCTAGCCTAAGTGTGTGACGACGCTAGACGTGATTTGAAGGGTTTGGTGTGTATGAAGGAGAGAGGGTTTTTAAGGGTAGGGCTGCCGCCCCCCCCCCCCCCGTCACTGACAAGCCTCGGGCCCCCACCAAACCTGGATTTATCGTGTCTATGGGGGCTTGACAGTGTGTGGAGGGGTTGTGTATGGGTATATATGGGGGGGAGGGCAGCCTTTTACTAGTGCCTCATTTGTGTGTACGCTTAGTGATGAAAGACCCCCTAGTGAGTGATTAATATCAGCGAGTGATATTTTCTCTCAATATCAGCGAGTGATATTCTCTCGATATCAGCGAGTGATATTCTCTCGATATCAGCGAGTGATATTCTCTCGATATCAGCGAGTGATATTCTCTCGATATCAGCGAGTGATATTCTCTCGATATCAGCGAGTGATATTCTCTCGATATCAGCGAGTGATATTCTTTCTTTAATATCAGTGAGTGATATTCTCTTTAATATCAGCGAGTGATATTCTCTCATAATATCAGCGAATGATATTCTCTTTCGGTATCAGCGAGTGATATTCTCTCTCAATATCGGCGAGTGATATTCTCTCTTAATACCAGCGAGTGATATTCTCTCTCAGTATTAGCGAGTGATATTCTCTCTTAATATCAGCGAGTGATATTCTCTCTCAATATCGGCGAGTGATATTCTCTCTTAATATCAGTGAGTGATATTCTCTCTCAATATCGGCGAGTGATATTCTCTCTTAATATCAGCGAGTGATATTCTCTCTTAATATCAGCGAGTGATATTCTCTCTTAATATCAGCGAGTGATATTCTCTCTTAATATCAGCGAGTGATATTCTCTCTCAATATCAGCGAGTGATATTCTCTCTCAATATCAGCGAGTGATATTCTCTTTTTAATATCAGCGAGTGATATTCTCTTTTTAATATCAGCGAGTGATATTCTCTTTTTAATATCAGCGAGTGATATTCTCTTTTTAATATCAGCGAGTGATATTCTCTTTTTAATATCAGCGAGTGATATTCTCTTCTTAATATCAGCGAGTGATATTCTCTTTTTAATATCAGCGAGTGATATTCTCTTTTTAATATCAGCGAGTGATATTCTTTCTTTAATATCAGTGAGTGATATTCTCTTTAATATCAGCGAGTGATATTCTCTCATAATATCAGCGAGTGATATTCTCTTTCGGTATCAGCGAGTGATATTCTCTCTCAATATCGGCGAGTGATATTCTCTCTTAATATCAGCGAGTGATATTCTCTCTCAGTATTAGCGAGTGATATTCTCTCTTAATATCAGCGAGTGATATTCTCTCTCAATATCGGCGAGTGATATTCTCTCTCAATATCGGCGAGTGATATTCTCTCTTAATATCAGCGAGTGATATTCTCTCTTAATATCAGCGAGTGATATTCTCTCTTAATATCAGCGAGTGATATTCTCTCTTAATATCAGCGAGTGATATTCTCTCTTAATATCAGCGAGTGATATTCTCTCTCAATATCAGTGAGTGATATTCTCTCTCAATATCAGCGAGTGATATTCTCTTTTTAATATCAGCGAGTGATATTCTCTTTTTAATATCAGCGAGTGATATTCTCTTTTTAATATCAGCGAGTGATATTCTCTTTTTAATATCAGCGAGTGATATTCTCTTTAATATCAGCGAGTGATATTCTCTTTTTAATATCAGCGAGTGATATTCTCTTTTTAATATCAGCGAGTGATATTCTCTCTTTAATATCAGCGAGTGATATGCTCTCTTAATATCAGCGAGTTATATGCTTTCTTTAATTATCATGCAAATATTTATACAACATTTTAATTATTTTCCCAAGTTGGTGTAATTGTGGTGGTGGTTCAAGTCCACCAAGTCTTTTTCTTTTGGAAGTCTTTTTCGTGGGTAACCGTTTTGACGTGTGAGAATTTAATTGCATGTTGATAGTTTTTGTTTTGAGTGCTTCTGGTTGATTGTGTGATGTACGCTCTGCATTTTAACAGTATTATGCCCCAGGCGTGCGCTTCGCGCGTATGTACGAAGTAGGCCTGGCAGTGTGGGCGAGTGCTCGGAGACACTAAATGTGTATACTCGTTTCAGTTTTCGCACCTTAATTCTCGTGCTAAGGTCCTCGTTTTTGTTTCATTGTGTTCACAATAGAATTCCCTACAGGTATATGCATATAAGGTCCAAAAGTCAAGCTTGACTCCCCACAGCAAAGCCTAAAGTCAGGAAAAGTTACCCGTGAGCACACAAAATCAGTAAAATGTGTATAAAGTACTCGTTTCAGTTTTCTCACCTTAATTCTCATGCTAAGTTGTTAGTTTTGATATCAATATGTTCACAATTAAATTCCCTGCAGGTGTATATGAAAATATTGTCCAAAAGCTCAGCGTGACTTCCTTAGCAAAGCCTAAAGTTACCCATGAATGAGAACCAATTATTACACCCGCAACCTAATGTGTACATATACTCGTTCAGTTTGATAACATCAATTTTCGTGTTACGTCGCTCGTTTTGGTATCAAATTGTTTGCAATATAAAGGTGCGTATCTTAAAACTAGTCCCATAATAATAGAGCAGTAACTGGAATTTTAACAAACATTTTAATGTTGGACGCTCATCACAAAATTATTTACAGTATATCTTTCCAGTGTTCTGACATAAAATTTCGTGTTACATCTTTAATTTTAGTATCAAATTGTTGGCAATGTAAAGGCGTGCATTTTAAAACTAGTCCCATAATAATAGCATAATAAATAGAATTTTAACAAATATTTTAAAATTTTGACCAAAAACGTATTTATAATCTTTCAAGTGTTCTGATATCAAGTTTTGTGTTACATCTTTCATGTTGATATCAAATTGTGCGCACTCTAAAGGCACTCATTTTGAAACTATGTCGAAGTCGATCGGATAGAAAATGAATTTTATACAAATATTTTTTGTATTGGATGCAAGCAGTGTCCAATACAAATATTTTTTGTATTGGACGCAAGCAGTGTCCAATACAAATATTTTTTGTATTGGACGCAAGCAGTGTCCAATACAAATATTTTTTGTATTGGACGCAAGCAGTGTCCAATACAAATATTTTTTGTATTGGACGCAAGCAGTGTCCAATACAAATATTTTTTGTATTGGATGCAGTGTCCATTACAAATATTTTTTGTATTGGACGCAAGCAGTGTCCAATACAAATATTTTTTGTATTGAACGCAAGCAGTGTCCAATACAAATATTTTTTGTATTGAACGCAAGCAGTGTCCAAAGCAAGGACACGAGAGAAAAAAGTGGACACGAGGGGTGTGTAAAGAGAGCGATAGTGTTAACCGATTTGGGAATTTTTTCTCTTAATATACTGCTGCCCAACCATGACACTACTGAGGGGGAGTTCCCTGTGCTTACATTTCTCTTATACTGTGTAAACCTGCTCATATGGAACCATTTCTTCAGTATACAGTATAGTACTTGTTAAACTAAACTTCCTTATTTCTTTTGTAATATACTGGTGACATTGGGTTTACCAAAAGTGTTATTTTTTTTTAATTTCTGGCTAAATTGATGGATAATTGGTGAACTCATTAGGCATAGCATCAATGAAATGTATAACCAAAGGCACTAGAAATACTAATTATGCCCGTATACTGCATAAGTAAATGCAAAACAAATGTTTAAAATTTTCTTTGAAATTAATTATAACATGACATACTGTATATTTAATGATCTCAGTTGTGTTTATGCTTCCCCTCCATGCTCATCATTTTTAATTTCCTGCATTACTGCTAGGCAATCTTACGGACTATCATTTGAATAATACTATATGGCATTGGTAATAGCAGTGTTTCTATTATAATCAATTTACCTGCTTGATACCTGCTTGATGGGGGTTCTGGGAGTAGTCCCCAAGCCCAGCCCGAGGCCAGGCTTGACTTGTGAGAGCTTGGTCCACTAGGCTGTTGCTTTAAGCGACTCGCAGATCCACATATCCACCACAGCCCGGTTGGTCCGGCACTCCTTGGAAAAAATGATCTAGTTTTCTCTTAAAGATGTCCACGGTTGTTCTGGCAATATTTCTTATACTCGCTGGGAGGATGTTGAACAACTGTGGACCTCTGATATTTATACGTATTCTCTGATTGTGCCTATGGCACTCCTGCTCTTCACAGGTTCTGTTCTGCATTTTCTTCCATGTCGTTCACTCCAGTATGTTGTTAGTTTACTGTGTAGATTTGGGACCTGTCCCTCCAGTATTTTCCACGTGTATATTATTTGATATCTCTCTCGTCTCCTTTCTAGTGAGTACATTTGGAGAGCTTTGAGACGATCCCAATAATTTAGGTGCTTTATCACGTCTATGTATGCCATGTATGTTCTCTGTATTCCCTCCATTTTAGCAATCTCTCCTGCTTTGAAGGGGAAAGTGAGTTGTGACGGGTTGTGGTATCGCAGCTATACTGAGCCAAGATGGTATGGCTCTCACGCACATAAATAAAAAAAAATGCTGCTATTGGCCTTGCAGTGTGTAAGTCGCAGGTAGAAACAAATGAAAACCATCAAATAAATAATTAAAACAATTTACTGAAATACAGTTCTAATGAACAAAATGACACCTGGGAATACTTGGTTATTATTATATAACAAATAAAATAAGTAAATGAAAGTTTAACTCTAATACAACACAAAAGTATACCTGGTTGATACCTGGTTGATGGGGTTCTGGGAGTTGTACTACTCCCCAAGTCCGGCCCGAGGCCAGACTTGACTTGTGGTGGTGGTGCCACCGGTTATTTTTCCTAGTGTTTCATCCATCTACAAAATTCTTCAAAAATGTGATTGGAGCCACAGTAACTGCGTTACCATTTATATCGTTGTTACGGCCCTATTGGGTCGCAACTGGGTTCTTTCTCTGATGTTAATAGAGTTTGGGTATCCGGCCCCAAGTTAGTACTGTAGTGGCTTTCAAGGGGTGTGTTCCGTAACGCAAGTAAATTAAAGGGGAAGGGAGACAAAGGCAAAAACTTAAATATATAATTACCACCGTCACCATAAATAATATATAAATTATCACACGGGGAAGGTATAAACACTATTATGTACAATATGGTCTTCCTCTGAAGACGCGGAGTGTTCCACGGTGCGCAACGATGCTTAGCCCTTGGTCCTCTTGTGGCCTCACGATGAATCCTTCGATTCTCTCGAGTCTACCCTGGCCACAGGCCAGCCAAATCACAGCTCCACTGGGGGCACCGTCGTGGAGGCCGTCAACCACAAATCCAGCCTGTAGCTGGCAGGTTCCAATCAGTTCCGCTGGTTAGGCCACTCCACGACCGATACTAGGGTAGCGAGCCCTAGGCAAGAGCCTCGTGTGATCCCACAGATCACTCTCCTCACCACAACACCCCAGTGGTTAGTCTTCTCCACTAGTCAGCCCCGGGTACGACAATCCCTGGTTCTGCCACTTCACAGGCAGGCTAACACAACAGTGTTCATCCGGGGGGTGACTCACAGCTCCAGCAGCAAATGCGTGGAGGTTCTACGGCTGCCTTGGGTAGACTGATCCAACTTCCATTACAGCAGTCCCAGGTTGACTCTGTAATCAGACACGTCATCAGTACCGGTTACACTCTAGGGCACCTCACTTACAGGCTTAGACACAAACGCCCACCTATCCACTCCATAGATGGCGTTGCTGTCTAAGCGTCACCTCACCAGAGGTCAGCAGCGGCTGTGTTATGAGCTGATCAGGACGGGAAACCAGCCCTTGTGGCCAGTATATCTCGTCCTCACTAGATGGCGTCGTCCATTTGGAGGGGGTTTCGGGAGCTGACCCACAGATGGCGTGGTCGTCACTGCTCCGGGCTCGGACGCTGGACTTGGGTCCGTAACAATCGTAATGTTTCCCACGCTCGATGGGTGAATTTTCCAGAGCAAAATTGTAATATTTTTCTATCATATAATGGACAATAACCAGGAGACCCTGTCCATAAAGAGGTACTTACTTCCCACATTACCAGCATTTTTCCGGACTAGGTTCATTGAGTTTCCAATGTCAAAAACTCATTTTTTAGCATAAGATTATCTTTGTAATATCTTGGAAACTTTATCTAATAAACAGTTAAGAAAATATGGTGTCACAACCATTTTCAGGACACTTCCACTAACCTAACTTTTGATCCAATGAACAATAAAAACAGTATATAAAAATTATATAACAAATGTGATCTGCCGGAAATTACTTTGGCTGTTGATCCTGATTTTCTGGAGGGAGGGGGTGCCCCCCCTCAGGCTTCTGTTTAGAGGGACCTATTATAGTTAGGTCTGGATTTTGGAAGTGCCACTGTATCTCCAAATCAGTTAAAATACTACCATCAAATGCCTAACACACCATGCTACCTTGCGTATTATCAGACCATATTGCTCAGTGGTTACAGAGAAAGGACTTACTGAACACGAGTGTCTCATCTGAGTCTACAAACTCTTGGGAAGAAGTGCTTTGTCTTCAGTTGGATTACACCCCAGTGGTCATAGTATTGCCTCAACAGAGGTGGGTCAGTTTACTCTTTCTGTGTGGTTGGACTCGAAGCATAGCCTAACATCTGACTTCCCAGGGTTTAGGCCTCCATGTAGTTTATATTTGGGACATGTTGGACTTTCTTGCAGAGGGTTTCTCTTCCTTTTATGCAATTTCAATAGATAGGGGTGTAGGTAAGGACTCCATCCTTTGGCTGTGCAAGATGTTTGGTTTGGTCATCAGATGGACGTGTTTGCCTGCGTGTGGAACTGGTGGCTCATGATATGTGGAGCCATTTCAGGGTCAGTGGGCATTTGTAGTAGGTACATTTTGCATGGACTGGCGGCATCAGTGATCCTACCTATACCTCTTTCACTTAATCAAATTGCCTCTTCTGTTTTGACTTGTTGGAGACCTAGGTAGGAAGCATTTATCTAATGGTTCCCATGTGATTGACACTGCCTACTTTGAAAGCCTTCTCGAACATTTTTCCAACTCCACTCTCCGTAGGCTCCACATCTTCTGGTCCCAGTTTTCAATAGGTGATGGATGGATGGATCTCGGAGGCCTGGAGTGGGGGGTCTAAATCTTAATTACTCAATTTATTAGCTAAGGGAGCTACCTGAGGCCAACCAAAAAAGGGTGTTTCATTACATTCAACGCTTGATTTTTGGCTTAACCCTTGCACTGTGCAGTAATATTATGCACCTATCCCCAGACACAGATAAAACATATATTCCAAACAAATTGACTTTTCTTCGCATGTAGTTATTAATTAAAAAGCATTTCAAACTCTAATATCATAAAATAACTCTATTGCATACCAAGCTTTATCTGTGGTAGTGTCATAAAGTTGGTTGGTTTTGATACCGCTGCTGGTAGCCAGCCATGGTAGCAGGTGGTTACCTTGTGGTAATTTTGGGGCTCATGCCCCGCGGCCCAGTCCCAGACCAGGCCTCCTGGTTGCCGGCCTGGTGAACCAGGCTGTTGGATGCTGCTGCTCAGAGCCTTGGTGTGTGTGGAGGAGTGGTGGGGTACACAGAAATTTCTTGTTCTATTTTAGTTGCTCATTACTCACTTTATTATTCTCTTATTAAATGATACAGTACCTTGGAATGTCGCTAGTGGTTTTAATATTTCATATAATGTGAAACATGAGTCTGCACAGATATATACATAAAGTATCATTATTTGAGCATATATTTATTTATACCATTATTTACCTATGAGTTTTAGTTATGTAATACCATTTAATACACATTTTTAACTAAGTACTGTTCAAACATAGCTGAAAATATTTGATCTGAAAAAACAAGTTATTGACCTATTATGATAGAAAACATATTTTCATGTAGCCTTGTTATATTGAAAATGACCTTGTTCACAGGCACTTTATTATAACGACAATATTGTATATTTTTGTTTTGTTTTAACAGCTTTTCAAGATGGTGGAGTTGGAGGCCTGGAGCCAGGCACTGATGACCAGTCAACCACAACACATTCAGCCGTATCTGAACACTTGACTGGTAATGTTTACTTGTGAGATTTTTGTCACTAAGATTTTAGCCAGTAACATATTCTAAGGAAAAAAACAAGTTCTAAGGCAGCCTCAAATACAGTAATAAGAACACAGTTATATTTTGAAGAGTGATGTAAAGAACAGCACATACTGTAAATCATGCAGCAAAGATCAATAATTGCTGAGCTATTAAATGTAGAATAACCACATACTATAAAAGGAAATAGTTGCTAGAGTGCTTTTAACCCCCTCAGGCCTTTTTCAACAGCATGACTGTTGACAAAGGCCTTAGAAGGTGGAAAGCGCTCAGCAGTTATTTCTTCCTTAATATGTGGTTATTCTGCACTATTAAACTTACTTGAGGTTAAAATAATGAAGCGTACATTAAGTAGTGTAAATGTAAACTTTCATAATATTATATCAGTGTGATTAAACTCAAGTTTATAGTTTATTTACTTTTTTGTTTATACAGTACTTACAATGCCATGTTTTTCTTGACACTACAGTATTCTTATTCCTTTGGCTGCAACACCCCCATTTTGGCTCTATAGTTTTCTTGGGTGTATTTGAGGCTAAAAAAAAATAACTAATTTTTTTTATTGGAGTCCCCCAACTACAAAAAATTTACACTGAAAATATGTTCATAAAGCATTTGTCCAGAATGCAAAATGAGATATTTGGAGTGTCCGGTTCAGGTAAGGATTGTGTCCAAGAATCTGGTGCTGTATTTGACCAACAGACGAGGAGAAAACTTATCCAGTTGCCTTTAATTCTTTGTATGCACTTTTGAAGTTATTATTGTTCTAGTTAAAATGGTAATTGTGAAACCTGATTTCAGATATCAATCGTGTTCCTCCAACACCACCAGAAGATAAATTGCTGAAGTGTGTGTGTTCAGATTGTGATACAGGAATATGTGAAACTGACGGTTACTGCTTCGTCACTGTTACTATTGATACCTCTGGAGAAACACAAATTTACAAGTGAGTTACCATCTTGCAATTCTGTTTCACAAACTTGTAATGTTATTTTTGTTTAACCTTGAGATAGGTAAAAAAATGGATAGACTAAACAATAGGTCAGCTTAGCTTAGCACATATTGGAATATCAGCTTAGCACATATTGGAATATCAGCTTAGCACATATTGGAATATTTAGTGTGAGTGCTTGATTTTGAGATATGTATGTGTGTGTGTTTGGGTATTGTTAGATGGAAGGAAGTGGTGTAGAGTCGATTCCCTACTGTAACTTTTAAAGAGGGTGAATTAAAATAGAATAAGGAAAATTAGCATGCATGGTGTCAGGTACATTGATGGTCAAGGAGAAAGGAGGCAACATTAAAAAAACAAAACTGTATGCTGGTTAATTTTTAAGTTTGGATCTCATTAATTTGAAATGTATAACTGTACTTGTATAAGTGGCAGTCTAAATGGTCATTCTATGCATGGGGTGTGATCAAAATTTTTGAGGACTATGTTATCTCGTCTCTCTCTCTCTCCAGTATTGCATAGTAGGCTTGGGAGTGCAGCTATTCCTCTGGAGCTTAGTACATTTCATGCTGAGGGCTTGATGTACTGCAGCACTTGATGTATCACAGAGCTTGATGTATCACAGAGCTTGATGTATCACAGAGCTTGATGTTCCATTAGGCCAAACCTTCGAGTATTTGTGTATGCAAATACAAATGCTTGATTTGTCAGGTCCTCATCACGAAAAGTGTAATTCACCATATTACCTGTGCTTACCTACTACTCAGTAGGTAAGCATACTACATGTAATTCAATTACTATATGTAATTCACCATATTCCTGTATGCTTACCTACTACTCAGTCCTGGAAACAGATGATACTGTACACCATAATATCCAGTGATGGGCCAAGTCCCAGCATTAAGTGATGTCTTTCATTAACTCGTAATTTTTTACTTAAAACTAATACCTCTACATGGATATTTTCAATTTTGTTTGGTTAGTGTCTATAACCTCCTTTCATTATATTATTCACCAATTGGGTAATGATTGTACTCGTGTAAATATTTAGTCGTAAGGTTTTTGTTCACACCCCTCAAGGCATACAATTAGTGTTTAGTTTTGATTGTTACTGCAGAGACAGTGATGCAGCTGGGATGGAGTGTGTGTGCATGCATTTGTAGTTGTGGAACTTTTTTTGTTTTTTATTAAATTTTTATGATGTTTGAAATGTAGTTAAAGACTTTTGGGATGGAAAAGAAATGAAATGACTGGTTACATGTGATACTTAATGGATACTTGCCCAGTTTGAATGCAGAATATTTCACACACATTAGACTCCATGATAGCATAAGGCAAATAGAATAGGTTTGAGGATTGTGTAGATTGGGCTCTCTTGAGGTTAGATATATTTTTCTTTACTGTTGAGCATTTAGAGAAGCTAGGCACCAGAGAGATTTATAGTTAATAGTGCTAAAACTATATGAGGTATAGATAGATCACTCTTGGTAACCCAAATTTATTGGATAACAATCCAGGTTGATCTTTAGAGGAACAAATATTTGTCGGTACATCCTTATGATAAGGAAATTGTAAGAGAAACCTTTTGAATGTTCTGAATTTTTTAGTTTTTTGTATAGCTTTTTCTTGGTAGAATAATCTTTCCCCTCCTTTTGCACCAGTTTACTTGGAAGTGGAATGAAGTTAATGGATAAGAATCTTAAGAATTCATTGTAGACTCGATTAATTTAGATTTTCAGTCTCAAAAGTATATTTTTAATTATACGATAGTCTTTTTATTTCTTTTAAAACTATATTTTGGGAAAATAATTTATAATAATTTCTTTATAAATAGCTTATGAGATTATGATTAGATATTTACTAGATGTTTAGTGTTACATGTAAATTTTCTAAACTTAATATGTTTTAGTGGTTGCTTATTTATGATAAAATTATATACTTTGAACATAATTATTTAAATAGCTTGTAGAAAAGGGGTATTAATAACCTGTAAATATATATATTGTGTTTTTATAATGAAAGTTAAAGCTAGAAATCTATCATCAGTTACTGTGTAATATGGTACTGGTAATAATTATCCTCATTATTTGTTAGGTATTGCTCAGGTAATACTTTTACTATGAATTTTCTTTATTTTTCCATCTTACATGATTTATTTATTGCCATGCATATCTCGTTTAACGTTGGGGGATACATTCCTTGAAATGTAGCATTAGCTGAATTATATAAGGAATCATTGTAGTGTAGTCCCTATAGAGAGGCATTCCTCGTATAATTATATACCTAGCAAAACACATTAAAGATTCACTGGGTTTCCGACAAAATACAGATGATGATAAATGTGCTTTTATAAATACAGTGCTCAATGAAGGTACTCTTATCTTTGTATACAAAACATAAGAACATAAGAACAAAGGTAGCTGCAGAAGGCCTATTGGCCCATATGAGGCAGCTCCTATTTATAACCACCCAATCCCACTCATATGCATGTCCAACCCACGTTTGAAACAATCGAGGGACCCCGTTAAAACTACTCTTCCCACTCCCGCACATTAATTTATGAACATGACAGCTGGTACAAGCTCATCACTGTCAAAAATCCTTTCCTTCGAGTCATAGGAAATAAGGGAGTGTGTGTGCCTGTGTTAGTGTGGTGGTATGTTAGTGTTTATTGGTGGTTAGCTGGTTAGAGTGCATGGGGGCCAGCTGGCCAGCCACCCACCAACCCGCTAATCATCCTGTACTGACACTGTTGATATTACTGTACAGTACTTCTGCAGTAATTTATTTTATATGTTTTAGAATTTAGATAAAAAGAGCTAGAACGAATTCGCGCTGTGTGAAAAACATTTAGCACGGTGGGAGGAATCGTTAAACGGGGTATGCATTATCGTGTAACAGTGGTAATGATGTTTGGAGCATCTTTACTCTAGTTAAATATATATTCCTGACATGTTAAATGTGGCGATAAGTGCATGTTTATTTGTGTGGTCATAGGAATATTCTGTAGCAATGCAAATCTTTTAACACCTATGAAAGTAGTTTTTCTTGTTTAAAAAATATATTGGTAGCGGGTAAACGAATTTTGCATGTAGGGTGGGAGGTATGTAGGTTTGTGTGGGTGTTTGTATGGCAAGTGGAGGAAGGAGGAGAAGCTGGTATGCTTTATGGATTAGTGTGTGACTGTGTGAGCACTGGCAATGTGCTTCTGTTTTTAGTCTTGTAAAGTTTCAAGTTGTAGAAATACAGTATTTATTTATTGGGTTTTTAAATGTGTGTATACTGTGTATATATATGTATGTGTATATATATATGTATATACTACTATATATATATATATATATATATATATATATATATATATATATATATATATATATATATATATATATATATATATATATATATATATATATATGTCGTACCTAATAGCCAGAACGCACTTCTCAGCCTACTATGCAAGGCCCGATTTGCCTAATAAGCCAAGTTTTCATGAATTAATTGTTTTTCGACTACCTAACCTACCTAACCTAACCTAACCTAACTTTTTCGGCTACCTAACCAAACCTAACCTATAAAGATAGGTTAGGTTAGGTTAGGTAGGGTTGGTTAGGTTCGGTCATATATCTACGTTAATTTTAACTCCAATAAAAAAAAAATGACCTCATACATAATGAAATGGGTAGCTTTATCATTTCATAAGAAAAAAAATAGAAAAAATATATTAATTCAGGAAAACTTGGCTTATTAGGCAAATCGGGCCTTGAATAGTAGGCCAAAAAGTGAGTTCTGGCTACTAGGTACGACATATATATATATATATATATATAATATACATATGCATACTTCTAAATATTTTCTTACTCTCGTGATTAAGAAGAGCAATCAAGTTACCGAATTTCATGGTAAAGAAACTAGTGATTATTGAAGGGTTTACTTTCTACAACATGTTGTTCCATTCTGGAACATCTTCAGGTAAAGAATGAATCCACATGGTGCAAATGTATGTTAAATACATATATGGAAGAAATGATGTTGTGTGGGATAAGGTGAAGTCTTCCCTTATGTTTGATTACTTTATGGAGTATGGAGTATTACTCCATATTCCATTTCATTCCATGGAGTGAAATTGACAGCCCAGACCAAAGATTGGAAATCATTATTTACTACAAAACAAAGAGGACTGCTGATTTAATTCTTAAGAACAGCCCCAATAAACAATACAACCCTCTCCAAAAAGCAAACGTGGTATACCAGTTTACATGGCCCCATTGAAGGATGTCACCTTCGATCTACTTATATATTGGTATGACCACTACAAAGCTTTCGAGAAGACTGACCAGCCATCTACAAGCTGGTGTCCCTAGAAACCATATGCAAAGTGTACACAACACAACACTCGCTACGAACATGATAATAGAAAATGCAACAATCCTGGCATCCACCACTGACCAGAGAAGACTGCAAATACTAGAAGCAATACTCATGAAAGAAAAAAGGCCCCATCCTAAATATACAGAGTAACGACATTGATACCTTGTCTGCGCTTGATTCCAGACCTCGCCACACAGCATCGGATAACATCATCTCTACCCAGTTTCCCCTCCCACCACCTTGCCCAGTGTTTGATTGAGAGCCATCCCCATTATTCCCCTATGTCTTCACCTGCGTGTGTGATTACTTCACCTTACCCCCCCCCCCCCCCACACACACACCTTTACCTCTTTCACATGTGTATTTAAGATAAATTTGCATCTAGTATATTCTTTCCTTACCTGAAGATGTTTCAGAGTGGAACCAAAAGTTGTAAAAAATCTACCTTTCAATTATCATTAGTTTTCTTTTCCATGAATTTTGGTAACTTTATTACTCTTCTTAATCCTGGGAGTAAGAAAATGAGTAGAAGCATAGAAAGCTTATACTGTACTACATGCAAGATCAACAATGCCAGCAATTCGGTCATATTTAACCAAATGTTTATGTGTATGTATGTA